GCCCGATGTGGGACTCGATCCTGGGACTCCAGGATCATGACCTGAGCCAAAGGCAGTCGCCTAACCAACTGAGCCACCCAGGCACCCAAGTGCTAATTTTTTTTTTTTTTTTGGTCTCTGCAATTTTGTCATTTTGAGAATATTATGTAAATGGATTCATATAGTTTGTGAATTTTTGGCATCAAGCATGTTTTTAATTCAAGTTCTTTGATTTTTTTAAAAAACATACCACCCTTTGTTTTATGGATACAGTAACTTCTTAAGTGTTTCTGAAGATAGTGAAGTTTTAAAAAAAATGTTTATTTCCTACATATGTTTATTTTGAGAGCCCACTTTTTCTGATGTTGTTTGCTTGGTCTTCCTGTTAAATGTTGCAAGTTTTTGACAGGTGGGTGATGGATAAGAATAGTTTGAATTAGGGTGCCTAATTGACATCTTTTTTTCCATGAAACATTTCCTGAGCACCTACATCTTCCTATTTCATTCTGGACTATTTAACGCTTTCTTGGCCTTCCTTTTACCATTTTCCTTTGAATTTCTTTGATCTTTTATCATTCCTGTGCTGGAACTTCTGTACCCTAGGTACTGTCTTGGATCTTTTTTTTTAGTTTATTCTCTTATTTTGGTGAAATGCAGCTTAGAGCTTCCCGAGAAAAGATGTACACTAATAACTTTCTCCTCCATTTTCTCTGCTCCTCTTTTTACCCCTCTCCTACACCTTTTCTCAGGAAGCTCTAAGCTGCACTTCACCAAAACTGTATGTATGTACATTTTGTGTACATACAGATATTATGTATCTGACAAAGTCTTTATGCTGTACATTTGATTGATGGCTTAATTGATTTAGAATTGTAAGTTGAAAATAATTTTTCCTTAAAATTTTAAATATACTCTTTCATTGTCTTCCAGCTCCCCTCAGTATTGAGAAATGTCATTCTGATTCTTGCTTCTTCGTGATCTTTTTCCCTTATTGGCAGACTTTTTTTTAACCTCACTTATCTCAGGTGTTAAGAAATTTTGTGATTTGTGTAAGCTTTGGTCTTTTTTCATTTGTTGTGCTGCATACTCATTGGGCCCTTTTCATCTGGAAACTCATGTCTTTAGTTTCAAGAAACTTTCTTATATTATTTCTCTAAAAACTTTCTCCTCCATTTTCTCTGCTCCTCTTTTTACCCCTGTAACTATTAGTTGGATATTGGACCTACAAGCTTGATTCTCTGGTTTTATTGTCTTTTCTGCCTGTGCCTTTATCTTTTTGTTGTTGTTGTTGTTCTTTTATCTAAATTTCCTTAACTCTTTGAATGAATTTAAAATTTTCTGTCACACGTTTCTTTCTCTTTTGTTTAATAAAAAGATAACTGTGAGTAATGGTGAATTAATGATCAGTAGGAAATAATTTGCTATTAGGTTACACTACTAGACTTCTGATATGTCACTTGTTATTTAATTGGGAAGTCATGTAGACACCCAAATTCAAACTCTTACACTCAGTATCCAATGCACATCCAATGTGTGCTATTTGGTAAGATAGCGTGTAATGAATAAAGCAGATGCAATTTGAAGGAAAGTATACATTTGAGAATTCAACACCTAGTTTTATGAGGTGCCTTTGCTGTGGATCATGCAAAGTAACAATTTTTTTGGTGTAATTTCATAGGATGAATTTTCAGGATTGTCATCGTACGAAAGGAAGAGACTGAAGAATATATCAGAAAATGCAAACTTTTTTGCTTCTCTTCAGTTGTCTGAGGTTTGTGTGGAATTTCTAGTTAAGAGCAAGATGCCATTCCTCTTGCCCGTAGGTCAATAAAATACTCATAGTATCAGGTTTCAAACATCAGATAAGGGAGGGTAAAATTAGGACTGAGTTTTGCATTTAATAGGAGGAGGTTACCATATTTTATTGATTCTAAGACGTTTTTTTCATTTTAATGTTCTTGAAATTGACATCTTGAAACTGTAACTGGCAGCTTTTCCTCCCTTTTGTTGGTGCATAAGATAATGGTGTCTTATGAATGGTTGTCTTGGATTCAGAGGAACAGAGTATGTTCCAAGTGGTTGCTTTACCTCTAAAGGATAAAGGAGAAGTAGGAGGAATGGGTTGAGGGATGTGTGGTAGAGGAGTGAGAGGGCAAGCTTTTTTTTTTTAATCCTTTTTTCCCCCTAAGATTTATTTATTTATTTGAGAGGGGGAGAGAGAGCACAAGGTGGGGGTGGGGAAAGGGACAAAGGGAGAGGGACAAGCAGACTTCCTGCTGAGCAGAGAACTAGACACAGGGACCCTGGGATCATGACCTGAACTGAAGGCAGACGCTTAACTGACTGAGCCACCCAGGTGCCCCTCTTTTTTGGAAAAATCTTAGAGACTAGGTGGAAATATGCTTTATATAGGAAGCTTTAAGGATAAATGGCCAGGGGTGCCTGGGTGGCTCAGTTGGGATCGAGCCCTACGTCAGGCTCCCTGCTCAGCAGAGAGCCTGTTTCTTCCTCTGCCTGCCAGTGCCCCTTGCTTGCACTCTCTCTATCAAATAAATAAATAAAATCTTTCAATAATAATAATAAATTCAAAATCTTAAACAACAAAAAAAGGATAAATGGCCAGATGTATGCTAGTGTTTTATAATCATTATAACTAAATGTGTAATTTACATTGTGTCTTCACACTGTGGGTAAAACTGTGTGTGAGATAGCCCTTCAGGAGGGTGTGTGATATTTTCTTTCAAACGGTAACAAGCCCTTGGCTTTATTTAAAAATTACTTGATTTCTTTGATTACACATTCCCAAATATTCAGCATGTGTTTGCATCTTGAGGGAACGGAGGGTGACTTAATATAAGGGATTATATTGTTAAGTCATTAAAATTTGAAAATTCATCAGAAATTTAGACAGAGTATCTATGATTTTGATTTTAGTTAACAGAAATTATGATTTGATTTATAGAAGTGTAATATAACTTTTCTGGAGAATATCAAAGTAGAATTGCCTGTAGTAGAAGTTAAATATTTTAATTTATAATAGTGTATTTGATTAAATGTTTAATGTTCAATCATGTAAACTCATTAGCAACCTGGTCCAAGGTATCAGAATGTCAGTACTTTCTGATACCTTGTCAGAATGTCATTACAACGTGGGGCTTGAACTCATGACCCTGAGGTCAAGACCTGAGCCCAGATAAGTCTGATGCTTAACCAGCTGAGCCACCCAGGTGCCCCAGTCCTTTAGATGGTATTTTTACTTGCTTTATTATTGATGGTTTATTTGTCTCATGTCTGTTACCAAGAGCAGGTATCATATTTTAAGGATCTTTATTTCCTATATAGATCTTAGTTTAGTGTCGATGAAGCAGCATACTTAATATTTTATAAGGTAGTATCTTTACATGTATGTTTTGTATATTTTGCAGTCAGCTGCAAGGCTCCGTGAAATGATAAAGAAGAGGCAGCCTCCTGAATCCAAAAGGTAAAAGATTTGGTTTGCAATGCCTAAACCATGATGTATTGTTGAGTTATTTATGCTATGCAAAATGGTTACCATGGTAAATAAGAAACTGTAATCTTAAACCTGTTGTTTCACATCTTCACGAGCATTTGGTGTTCTCAGTGTTCTGGATTTTGGCCATTCTAATAAGTGTGTATTGGTATCTCATTGTTCTTTTAATTTCTATTTCTCTGATAACATGATGTAGAGCATCTTTTCATATGCTTATTGCTGTCTATACATTACTTTGGTGAACTGTCTGTTAAGGTCTTTGGCCCATTTTTAAATTAAGTTGTTTGATTTTTATTGTTGAGTTTTAAGAGTTCTTTGTATATTTTGGATAACAGTCCTTTATCAGATGTGTCTTGTACAGATATTTTCTCCCAGTCGGTGGCTTGTCTTCTCAATCTCTTGGTAGTGTCTTTTGCAGAGCAGAAGTTTTTAATCTTAATGAAGTTTACTTCGTCGCGTTTTTCTTTCATGGATTATGTTTTTGGTTTTTTATTTAAAAAACCATTGCTATACCCAAGGTCACCTAGGTTTTCTCTTATTGTCTTCTACAAGTTTTATAGTTCTGCATTTTACATTAGATATGTGATCTTTTTTGAGTTAATTTTGTGATGGGGTTAAAGGCTGTGTCTAGATTTTTTTTTTCTTTTTTTTTTTTAATTCTTATGTTAATCCCCATACATTACATCATTAGTTTTAGATGAAGTGTTCCATGATTCATTGTTTGTGCATAACACCCAGTGCTCCATGCAGAATGT